CCCACTCATACCATAACAAGCAGATCTATAAGCAGATGACAAAGGGAGCCCAAACGAATAAAGTCAAACGTTTAACATAAGACATAAACATAAGCCTAAGCTTAATYAAAGACGCAGGAACAAGCAAAGAAAACACTACGATACAACGCAAATTAGTATTCTCTAAAATTGCTTTGGGTGGCTTTTGTCATAAGGAGTTGAGGGTGTTATGCTAAATAATATCGCCCTCCGTTTTAAGCATTGTCATCAATGGTTAAGTCGTACGTAAAAACATTGAACACTCCTGGAGCTGTGCCATCGATAAGTGGAGCCTGGGAACAGTACATTGGCAGAGAGGGACATACCATATACCAGATAGCAAATGCTGTCTACTTCAATGAAATGAAAGAGAGGCTGGATAAGAGGTTGCCATGTGATTCCAGACAAATACTCGATGACCATACCATGATTTTACAGCATGTCATGGTCAACGTGTTTGAAGTCACAGTCGAAAGTAAAGGGATGTCAGCAGATCAGCTTGCTAAATATGCCGAAGAATTCCAGGTACCGCAGTCCACATTTATATTCTGCTAACAATGGTTTTGTCTTAAGAAATAATGTACACCGCATTCTTGATATAAGATTAAACTAAAGTAATTCTAATCAAAGGCTGAAGCTGAGGATATTGAAAGCAGTTGGCTTCAAAAGAACAACATATTAACAGAAAACAACTGCGAAACTGTTTTCAAAGAAGTAAAAAGCAAAATTTTAACTCCAGCGAAGGAAATTTGGAAAGAGTTTGAAAACCAGGGGGAGGCTGAAATGAGAATTAGAAATGCTTATGAATCAGTCATCAGTGAATTTAACAGACGTTGTCGTGGTTGTAAGGAGATAATAGACAACCTTTCAGTATTATATAAAGAGGTAAGGTCGTACAATATCAACACTAACATACCGTCACTGTATCGAGCTTAGCCTCCTCTGCAGTCATCACAAAGAATCACGGGCTTCCTGTCTTTTTTGGAAGTCAAAAGAGGGAGAATGGGGGCGAGATTTTTCCTTTCTCATCACTAGTCCCTAGCCTCCAAGATGACCGTTACAAAGGAAGTCCAAAGGAGGAAAAAAGAGTTTCCTGGGGAGGAGGAGGCTATATTGAGCTAAGATCAGCTGTCAAAGATCTTTTACGAAATGCAAAATAATAGTGCATTGTGGCCTAGCTTCAAACAACGCCATATTTGGCAGCATGAACAAAAGATGTTTGCACCCAATGTAGACCACAATGCAATGCAAACGTCTTTCTCAGAAGAGGTCTATGACGGGGGGATTGCTGAATGCTTGACTGAAATGTGGAAGAACTCACGCCACCCCGGGAGAGGTCTATGTACTGGGTGGGCGGAGGCAATTAAGCTAGACGAGTATAGAGAGGCTTGTCTTAACCCCCTTTCCCGAAATTCGCTGTGATCTAACTTAGTTCCATTTAAGTTCTTAAGTCTTGTGGTTCGAGTTTGCTCATCAATCTCACGGGACTAAATCACGTGAAAAGAGGATATTTTATCACGTAAAGAAACTCATTTGTTGAATTCTTTAATAGGAACTTGATAAAGAAATGCGTCATGATATTGGGATTGTTCGTCAACTCGGAGATAAAAAGGATGAAACTTATGCTCGTCAACTCGAGCGAGAGGAGATTAAAGAACTGGAAGAGTCCCTGAAGGTATGCGAACGTAAAACAATAAACAATGAACCCTCAATAGACCCCTTGCATGTGACGTCAAAGCAGCTTCATCTGGAGGACAAAACAAAAGATTTTTATTCCTCTTGGGAACTAGAATCCATTGTTTTGTCCTCCAGTTGGAGCTGCATTCCCATGAACTGCAAGGGGTCTATACCGTCACGAGGCGTTTCCACCTCAACCCACCCCCACCCATCTTTCAGATTGTCATGCTGTCCTGCTATAATCAATTCAAACTTTCTCCTCTTATGTAGGCCATGAATATTGTTTTGAAAGAGGACATTGAAGATATTGACAAACAGGTAAAAATTATTGGCATCGCATTAGAGTGATCGCACTTAATCCGTGCAACTGTACAAA